AGCCATTGAGAAATACTGTGAGAGCTGTGATTGGTCAAAGTTTGTCACATGGTACAAGGCTGTTGTGAATGGCCCTGTACCATGTGACCTCTGTGATCATTCACAGATTTCACACGTAGTAAGCAATGATGTCAGATGTGACATCTTGCTTACTACTCTTCATGTGATCACTGATTGGCCAATCAGTGATCACATGATCGGGACCTCACACAGAGGTCCCTTACAGATATCGGTGTTCCTCCGGACACAGCGGGCAATAGATCACAGGCTGTAAATGTGGGCGCCGTTTATGAATGGTAACCCCACCCCTGCACTGCCCCCGTCCGTCCGTTTATATACATGGGCCGGACGGGAAGTGGTTAATTAAGCTGCAAAGGCAGTGGAGGGGGGGTGTTAATGTGCCCCTGTTGCAATGCTTCACTTCGCTCCTGCAGCCCAATGACAACAGACACGTCCCCTCTGCACACTGGGTGAGCTGAAAACTTTGAGACCATGGAGATGATTTACTAAAGGCAAATAGACTGTGCTCCCTGCAAAGTGCAATTGCTCCAGAGCTTAGTAAATGAGCAGAAGCTCTGCTGACTTCCATCATCCAATCATGTGCAAACAAGAATTAAGTTTTTTTTATTTGTCTTGCATGTGATTGGATATCCTTGGCAAAGGGAACCCTTAGTAAACCAACCCCATAGACTTGTCTCCACCCATCCCCTGTCTCAGCAGTCGGTAGCAGAGGAGGACAGAACTCCTTCACCAGACCCTGCTCTTCTCAGTGCAGCCACAGAAAGACTCGTCTCACCCCCCCCCATCCTCTGTCTCAGCAGTCGGCAGCAGAGGAGGACAGAACTCCTTCACCAGACCCTGCACTTCTCCAGCCATGCAGCCACAGAAAGACTCGCTCACCCCCCCCCCCCCCAGTGCCCCCACCCCACCCCCCCCCATCCCCTGTCTCAGCAGTCGGCAGCAGAGGAGGGCAGGACTCCTTCGCCAGACCCTTGTACTTCTTAGTGCAGCCGCAGAAAGACTTGTCTCCACACCCCCCCCCCCCCCCCCATCCCCTGTCTCAGCAGTTGGTAGCAGAGGAGGGCAGGACTCCTTTGCCAGACCCTGTACTTCTTAGTGCAGCCGCAGAAAGACTTGTCTCACCCCCCATCCCCTGTCTCAGCAGTCGGCAGCAGAGGAGGACATAACTCCTTCATCAGACCCTGCACTTCTCTGAGCAGCCACAGAAAGACTCGTCTCACTCCCCCCCCCATCCTCTGTCTCAGTCTCAGCAGTCGGCAGCAGAGGAGGACAGAACTCCTTCACCAGACCCTGCACTTCTCTGTGCAGCCACAGAAAGATTTGCCTCACCCCCCACTCCATAACCTGTCTCAGTAGTCGGCAGCAGAGGAGGACAGAACTCCTTCGCCAGACCATGCACTTTTCTTTGCAGCCACAGAAAGACTCATCTCACCTCCCCCCTTCCCTGTCTTGCACAGAACTCCACCTCCAGATCCTGCAGCTCTCTGTGCAGCCACATCACCTCCTTACCTCTGCCTCTCCTGGTCTCAGCATTCTGCAGCTGACTCCAGCCCTCCCCTGGTCCTCCTCCAGACCCTGCATATTCTGCTTCCAAACTCCACCCCCAGCTTCTTCACAGCAGCAGCACAAAGTAAGGGGTGCACTGCAACATAGGGGAGGGTGGGGTCTCTTGACTTCTGGGTGGGGTGGGCTTTTGACATCTGATGTAAGGGGGGGGGGGTGCTCTGGACCAGGGCAACCTTACTGCTGAGGTGGCCGGTGGTAATTAAAGTGAACTTGACACCCCTGCCGCAGGGTGCCTGCTCTGTAAGGTGTTGGGGGTTTTAGTATTCTGTCCCATCTGTCTCTCTCCACCTTTAGGATGAATGGAGGGGGGGGGGGGGAGGCTTCTTGCCGGGCTGAAATAATCCGGCCAAACACAGCATGGCTCCCGGGGGGCCGCCGTCTGCAGAGAAGATGTAAATATTAAATTAATTTTGCGGTGCCAGACAATAAAAAATAAATTGATCTCGCTGGAATTTTTGTTCTTCCTGCGTTTAATGCCACGAAAAATGCAGAGGGTGGAAAAAAATATTTGATGTACTTTTATTTGCCGCAAACTCCTCATAGGAAGCAACAAGAGCCTCCTCGTAGGAAGGAACAAGAGCCTCCTCCTCGTAGGAAGGACCAAGAGCCTCCTCGTAGGAAGGAACAAGAGCCTCCTCGTAGGAAGGACCAAGAGCCTCCTCGTAGGAAGGAACAAGAGCCTCCTCGTAGGAAGGAACAAGAGCCTCCTCATAGGAAGGACCAAGAGCCTCCTCGTAGGAAGGAACAAGAGCCTCCTCGTAGGAAGAACCAAGAGCCTCCTCGTAGGAAGGAACAAGAGCCTCCTCGTAGGAAGGAACAAGAGCCCCTCCTCATAGAAAGGACCAAGAGCCTCCTCGTAGGAAGGAACAAGAGCCTCCTCGTAGGAAGAACAGAAGAGCCTCCTCGTAGGAAGGAACAAGAGCCTCCTCGTAGGAAGGACCAAGAGCCTCCTCGTAGGAAGGAACAAGAGCCTCCTCGTAGGAAGAAAACCAAGAGCCTCCTCGTAGGAAGGAACAAGAGCCTCCTCGTAGGAAGGACCAAGAGCCTCCTCGTAGGAAGAAACAAGAGCCTCCTCGTAGGAAGGAACAAGAGCCTCCTCGGTAGGAAGGAACAAGAGCCTCCTCATAGAAAGGACCAAGAGCCTCCTCGTAGGAAGGACCAAGAGCCTCCTCGTAGGAAGGAACAAGAGCCTCCTCGTAGGAAGGAACAAGAGCCTCCTCGTAGGAAGGCTATTATATTATTATAGGTCTTATATAGCGACGTCCATTTATGCAGTGCTTGACATATATATTGTACATTCACATCAGCCCCCCCCCCCCCGAGGAGCGTACAATCTAAGGTCCCTAACTCACATTCATACATACACATACTAGGGCCCTTTCGATGTGATTTCCCTTCGGGAGTATCTCACCAAAAATGTTGCAGGGGATGCCCACAATCTAACTTGTATCTGTAGACTTCTGGGAAAATCAGTGAGCCAATCACACAAGCAGGAAATTGTATTTCTTGTGGGGGGATTCTCTATACTATCTGTGTACACAACGCCTCCAGGTTGCCATATTGCACAGGTGTCAACCACAAGGCCCGCGGGCCAGTCTGGCCCTCCAGGCCATTTCATGTGGCCCTTGCACCTCTCCTGCAGTTACCCCCTTGTCTCCGCCCCCACCTTATCTCAGAAGTTGGCAGTAGAGAGGAGAATAGAAGTCCTCTGCCAAATCCTGCACCTCTCAGTGCAGCTGCAGCACCCCTCATCTCTGCATCCCCTGGTCTCAGCATTCAGTAGACTCTGGTAATGGACTCCACTCCTCCTTTGGTCCTCCTCCAGACCCTGCACTTTCTGCTTTCCAACTCTGCCCCCAAAGGGGGTGCACGGTGATCAGTGGTGTATTTAGGTTTCGTGCTGCCCTAGGCAACACAAAAATTGCCCCCCACGGAGAGACCCTGACACCGACCAACACCTCCCTCCCCCACGAAGAGAGTCTGACATTGACCAACAACACCCCAGCCCCCATACGAGAGAGCCTTCCACTACCCCCCACCCCCCCCCCCCATACACTGGAACCCCCCCCCCCCCACTCCAGCAAGAGAGAAGGCACTCGCCTTCACAGCTCCGGACATCCCCGGGAACACGATTTAGGCTCTGCTTACACCAAGCAGCCCACAGCCTCTCTCAGATCCCACCTCGTCCCCCCTTTGGGGGGGCGGTGGTGCCCCCTGAAAAATGCTGCTGCCCCCCTGAAAAATGCCACTCTAGGTAAATGCCTTGTTTGCCTTGTGGTAAATACACCCCTGACGGTGATGTTAGGGAGGGTGTGATATTCTTGACATCTGATGTAATGGGGGGGGGGGGTGCTCTGGACATCTAGTCTTACCGATACAACCAGCCCTTTGAGGGCCACCATAATGCCGATACGGCCCGCCACGAAAAGGAGATAGACACCCGCGCCATATTGCATTTTACAGATGATTACGGCGGTCGAAGATTGAAAAGGAAAGGTCCTTATAAATATTATTCAATTACCATAGGACTTGTGTAGCCATTGCATACGCTAGATTACTTTTTTTTTGCTATTTAATTGTCCCACGAAAGTGGAGTTGCCCTTTAAATACGAATTTACGGTTCCAAAGTCTACTCTGTAGGTCGATCAGTAGGGTCATCCTCTTGCTCGGTTGGACCGATCCTCTGAAGTCACACACCGATACAGAGGGATCATGCTAGCTTTTTGCACCGCCATGTATAATGCAGGAGCTCGGCGTTATCATGCTTACACATGAAAGTGCGCGGTGAGAAGCGCCGATTAGTCACAGGGAACAAACAAGTGATCTGTACCATGAAACTGCTAAAAATTCCTCCCCACGTAAAGCAAAATCTACCGAAGCAAATCTAATGTTCTTGGAAAGGCGCAATTCCTGGAAGTGGCGGCGTATTGGACATACGTGAGCGGTGCTCCCAGGCGGAATAAAATGGAAAGAAAATATTACCGCTATATGTAGAAAATATTGGATTCCAGAAGGGTTGGCTCGTTTCTGTAGAAATATTGGTCTGGGGAAAAATATATATATTTATATGTGTGTGTGCTGAATATATTATAATATATATGACTTCCTTTCGCTCTAATGGACTCCAATTTGGGACCAAATTTTGGCCGTTTGGGCAAATGCTGAAACCTTTGCGCGTTTGGCCCCTCCCCAAGCATCATATATAGAAGTGGTATCTCTACGTCTCCTATATTTGACTGCGTCTCCTATATTTGACTGCACTTGTGTCAGGAATGCACTTGCCAATAGTGGTGGGACTCACCTGCCTTGTGGGCTGCAGTACCAGGGCTGGCCAGCGGGTGCTCTCAACAACCAGAGGCTCACTCCTGCAATTAGCCATCACCTGCGCTGATTGCAGGTGGTGTATTTAAAGGATGGCCAGACCTGCAGTCAGTGGCTTGTTGTACTGTTCGCTTGGCCCTGGTTTCCTGATCCTGTTACTTCTGTCCTGACTCTGCTTGAACTCTGCCTGTACTGACCTCGGCTAGTCCTGACCACTCTCCCGCCTGCTCCTGGTACTCCGTTTGCCCGTTTGCTACCGACCCGGCCTGCCTGACTACTCTTGTATTGTATGTTTGTTATCTGTTGGAGGTTTGGTTTAGTTTGTTTGCACTGTGTTTATGTTTAGTTTTGCACTGCGTTTGTATTGTTAGTCTTAATAAATTATATTATTTACTATACCTGAAGCCTGCGTTCCCCTGTGTCAGTCCACACACTTCTGGTCATACCCGGATCCCTGACAACTTGGGTACTTCCGTTAGACTTCTGCTTCCCCGACCGAACACCGACCACAGACACCACCAGACCATACAAGACTAGACGACACCAGTCTTGAAGTAAACCAGGAAATAGACTAGTTTTATTTTAACACAGATACAAGATTTATACATTCAAGGGGACAATCCCCCCTCCCTGCATAATGACACAGGGCGGGGCAATCTACATTTAGTAACAAGAGACACACCAGCAGACAGTCCCATCAGGAGGGAGGGCTGCTGGAGACGCCCCCCACCAAGCCAACACACATAAATGCATACATCCCATAATAGTTTGCTCCAAAGCAAGACACACAATAGAACAATGGGATGCAACCACATGGCATTAAATAATCAACAACCCCCCACCCAAATATTAGGACAGTTCACCCTGTACCCCTAACAGGCACAGGGTGACTTACACATAAGAGGGATATGGGGAGCTGAGACAGAGGTCTCCCTACTTCTCCAAAGTGAGCTGTGTTTCCATGGGCCCCCCCACTCAAAGTGACTCCCGTCACAGACAGCTTCCCATTGTCAATGGTTTCTAAGGAAGCAGCAGGTGCAGGCACCCGCTGAGTCCCTAGCAACCACCAAGGGTGGGAATAGCAGTGGCATCGCCTTTTTTTGTGAATGATTGGAGATACTATGTGTTCCTCCTAATGAGGTCGGTATCTGTGGGCTGCCGTATTGGCTTCCAGATTCCAAGAAGCTCCCACAACTACTGGGCCAGAGTTGTGGGGACGAGGCCCTTGTCCTCATCAACTTAGCAACAGGGTGCTTTGCCAGGAGGGGCATGTTGAGGGCATGTGACCTGGTGTGGTTCAGGAGGAACATTTACCCCACCATCCTGGCAGTTAAGTGGAAACAGTGGGGGGGGGGGGGGGGCATTAAAGTGGGGTAGGCAGTAGAGGGGCAACTTCAATTATTTGCACTGGGATCCTTAGGTCTGGAGGTCTTTCACTACCTGCTAGGCTTGTTGCGTCATAGGATAAACCTGTAAATAAATAAGGTGGCAGTAAAGTGTGGGGGAGGGCAGTATTGGGGGGGGGGGCAAGGTCAATCACTTGCATTGGGACCCACAGGTCTGCAGCTATAACACTGCTTACTAGGCTTGTTTCATCATAGAATAGACCTAAATAAATGAATGGAGTGGCAGTAAAAAAGGGAAGGGGGCAGGGTATTAAAGTGGGGGGGGGGGGGGCGGTATGAAGGGAGGGGCAAGATCAATTAGCTGTACAGGAATGCTTAGGTCCGGAGTTATTTCACTACTTGCTAGGTTTGTTGCATCATAAAATAGACCTATAAATCAGTGGGTGGCAGTATAGGGGGGAGGGGGGGGGGGGGGGGGGGGGAGGGCGTGGTTAGGGACAAGGTCAATCATTTGCACTGGGGCCCATAGGTCTGCAGCTACACCACTGCTTACTAGGCTTGTTGCATCATAGAACAGACCTATAAATCAATGGGGTGGAGTTAAAATAGGGGGTAGTATAGGGGGCAGTAAAGTGGGGAGTGCAGTGAGGGGAGAGGGGAAAGGTCAATCACTTGCACTGGGACCCCATAGGCATGGAGTTATTTCACTGCTTGCTAGGCTTGCTGCATCATAGAATAGACCTAGAAATCAGTGGGTGGCAGTAAAGTGAGAGAAGGGCAGTATGGGGGGGGGGGGGGGCAATGTCAATCATTTGCACTAGGGCCCATAGATATGGAGCTATACACCTGCTTACTAGGCTTGTTGTGCCATAGAATTGACCTATGAATCAATGGGGTGGCAGTTAAGTGGAAACAGTGTGGGGGGCAATAAAGCAGGGCAGGCAGTGTGGGTAGAGGGGCAACTTCAATCATTTGCTCTGGGATCCTTAGGTCTTGAGCTCTTTTACTACTTGCTAGACTTGTTGCATCATAGCTTAACCTTGTAAATCAGTTGGGAGGCAGTATTGGGGGGGGGGGGGGGAGTTAATCATTTGCACTGGGACCCCATAGGTCTGGAGCTACACCACTGCTTGCTATGCTAGTTGGGGCATAGAATAGAACCATAAATCAATGGGGTGGATGTAAAATGGGACAGTGGAGGGAGGCATTAAACTGGCGGGGGGGGGGGGGGGAATTAGGAGAAGGGCAAGGTCAATTACTTGTACTGGGACCCACACGTCTGGATCTATACCACTGCTTACTAGGCTTCTTGCATTGTAGGACAGACCTATAAATGAATGGGTTGGAAGTAAAGTGGGGGCAGTATGGGGGGCAGAAAAGTGGGGAGAGCTTGCCAGACTTGTTGCATCTTAGGATAAAGCTGTAAATCAGTGGGATGGCAGTAAAGTGGGGGGGAGGTAGGGGTAATCATTTGCACTGGGATCCATAGGTCTGGAGCAATTCCACTGCTTACTAGGCTCATTGGGGCATAGAATAAACCTATAAATCAATGGGGTGGCAGTACAGTGGGGGCAGTATGGGGGAAGTCTGGGAGGAGGAGCGAGGCCAATCATTAGAACTGGGACCCATAGGTCCGGAGCTATTCCACTGCTTACTATGCTCATTGGGGCATAGAAAATACCTAGAATCAATGGGGTGGCAGTACAGTGGGGGTAGTATGGGGGACGCCTAGGAGGAAGGGCGAGGCCAATCATTAGAATTGGGACCCATAGGTCTGGAGCGATTCCACTGCTTACTAGGCTCATTGGGGCATAGAATAGACCTATAAATCAATGGGGTGGCAGTACAGTGGGGGTAGTTGTCAGGAATGGACTGGCCAGCAATGGTGGGACTCACCTGCCTTTTGATCTGCAGTACCAGGGCTGGCCAGCGGGTGCTCCCAGCAATCAGAGACTCAACCTTTCAGCCAGCTAACACCTGGAACTGATAATGCTGGGGTATTTAAGGGATGGCCAGACCCACAGACTCTGCCTTGGTGTTGTGTTTGTCCTGGGCCCTGTATCTGTCCTGCATCCTGTTTCTGTCCCTCTGCCTGACCCTCTGTACTACGCTGCTTGTTACCTGTTTTGATCCCTGGCTTGTGACCCTGACCATCCCTCTGCCTGACCCTCTGTACTACGCTGATTGCTACCTGCTGAACCTGGCCTGTGACCCCGACCATTCTCTGCTTGCTCCCCCTGTACCTACCTGCCCAATTGATATTGACCCGGCCTGCCTGACGACGCTTGCTTGTATGTACTGTTATCTGTGGGTGATTGGTTTGGTTTGTTTGCACTGTATTATGTTTAGTATTGCACTGCGTTTATGTTTGTATGGTTAGTGTTAATAAATTGTATTGTTTATCACATATCTGAAGTCTGCGTTTCCCTGCATCAGTCACACACCTCTGGTCATACCTGGGAGCCCTGACAGTAGTATGGTGAAAGTCTGGGAGGGGGGGCGATATCAATCATTAAAATTGGGACCCATAGGTCCGGAGCTATTCCACTGCTTACTATGATCATTGAATCATAGAAAAGACCTATAAATCAATGGGGTGGCAGTACAGTGGGGGCAGTATGGGGAACACCTGGGAGGAGGGGCGAGGTCAATCATTAGAATTGGGACCCGTAGGTCCAGAGCTATTCCACTGCTTGCTAGGCTTGGTGGGGCATAGAATAGACCTATAAATCAATGGGGTGGCAGTACAGTGGGGGCAGTATAGGGAACACCTGGGAGGAGGGGCGAGGTCAATCATTAGAATTGGGACCCATAGGTCCGGAGCTATTCCACTACTTACTATGCTCATTGGGGCATAGAAAAGACCTATAAATCAATGGGGTGGCAGTACAGTGGGGGCAGTATGGGGGAAGTGTGTGAGGAGGGGAGAGGCCAATCATTAGAATTGGGACCCATAGGTCCGGAGCTATTCCACTGCTTGCTAGGCTTGTTGGGGCATAGAAAACTTATAAATCAATGGGGTGGCAGTACAGTGGGGGCTATGGGGAAAGTCTGGGAGGAGGGGCGAGGCCAATATTAGAATTGGGACCCATAGGTCCGGAGCTATTCCACTGCTTGCTAGGCTTGTTGGGGCATAGAAAACACTTATAAATCAATGGGGGGTGGCAGTACAGTGGGGGTAGTATGGGGAAAGTCTGGGAGGAGGGGCGAGGCCAATCATTAGAATTGGGGACCCATAGGTCCGGAGCTATTCCACTACTTGCTATGATCATTGTATCATAGAAAAGACCTATAAATCAGCCTAAGTAGGAATAAAATGTATTAATTAGAGATGAGCGAATTATTCAAAAATTCGATTCGGCCGATTCGCCGAATTTGCGGGAGAAATTCGATTCGATGTGAATTTATTCGCTGCGAATTTAACTTATTAAAAGGGTTTCTAGGCTTCAGAGAGCCTTTATATTAGTGCAGAACACTGTACCTTTAATTTAAATGTCCTTGGAGTCTGCTGGGGAAGAGAAATAATACTGTCAGTCAGTATGACATGCAGATGAGTGCCGTCGATCTTAGAATCACCGCACACTTCACTCATTTGGGCAGTCACGGGGCACGACGAAGAAGAAGAAGAAGAAGAATGAAAAGAAGAATGAAAAGAAGAAGAAGAAGAATGAAAAGAAGAAGAAGAAGAAGAATGAAAAGAAGAATGAAAAGAAGAAGAAGAAGAATAAAAAGAAGAAGAAGAATGAAAAGAAGAATGAAAAGAAGAAGAAGAAGAATGAAAAGAAGAAGAAGAAGAATGAAAAGAAGAATGAAAAGAAGAAGAAGAAGAATGAAAAGAAGAAGAAGAAGAATGAAAAGAAGAAGAAGAAGAATGAAAAGAAGAATGAGAAGAAGAATGAAAAGAAGAATGAGAAGAATGAAAAGAAGAATGAAAAGAAGAAGAAGAAGAATGAAAAGAAGAAGAAGAAGAATGAAAAGAAGAAGAAGAAGAATGAAAAGAAGAAGAATGAAAAGAAGAAATGAAAAGAAGAAGAATGAAAAGAAGAAGAAGAAGAAGAATGAAAAGAAGAAGAAGAAGAATGAAAAGAAGAAGAAGAATGAAAAGAAGAAGAAGAAGAATGTAAAGAAGAAGAATTCCAGTACAGCAAAAAGTGTATCTGCAGAGAGCTCCGCTATTTCTGACAGTTCTCTGACAGTTCCTTCACATTTACAGCGGTTGAAACATTGTATCTATTTATTTCCGAATAAAAAACATCTGTATCCTAAATGGAAACAAATAGATACAATGTTTCAACCGCTGTAAATGAACTGTCAGAACTGTCAGAGAACTGTCAGAAATAGCGGAGCTCTCTGCAGTGACACTTTTTGCCGGCTGATCGGGGAAAATTCGATTCGTGCACCCGAAGTTTGCTAAAATTCGGATTCGGTGCGAATCGAATTTTTCCTAATATTCGAAACGAATTCCACTTCGCCAAGTTCGATTCGCTCATCTCTAGTATTAATTATAGTACAGAACAGCCAGAGACACTTACAATATGATCTACCATACAGCTACTCTCCCACCATCCCCCCACCGGGCAATAACATACTAAACTACCTTCCTATTTGTAATAGAATTGTACGGCAGCTGAATATAGCAGCATAATTGCCTAATGAGATCCCATTAACACATCCGTAATGATTCTTCTCCGTTATCACTTCTTCCCCAAGGTACGGTGTGCCATCCCGATCCTTATCCTACGGTGTACAGGATGTAGCGTCCTTATCTAGAGGCATCTCGCTGGGTATGAAGAACATAGACAACCTGAAGATTCAACATCCTTGTTCTCACCCCATAAAGTGAACCTGTACTGCTATAGAGATGAATGAGCAGTAGAAGAGATGGGATGGCAGATGGCCACTTTGTCTCTGGCCACCATTGTTCTATGGGTGAGCAATGTACAAATACAAGTTTAGCACTACCCTTTTAGGAATTGCTGTTGAATTGGGTCCCCCTCTAGTCCTACCCCGCCAGGCAACCTGCATTCTCCATACAAGCGTTCATTTGAAGGTAGAAATCAGTCCTTGAGCTTTTGTTTTGTTGTTTATTGAGGGGATTTAGAACTGGGTAAGGTGGGTGTAGGATGCCCAAGGGAACCAACAGCTGAGGACAAACTTCCTGGAACTATTCACAAGTTTCTCTTCTGCAACACAGCCTCGTAGCACCCCAGACCCTAGATGAAATCCTCCTCTTCACCCAGCAATCTGAAGGTTTCTTCCTGAGCTGGGGATCTGGCTCCTGTTCCTTCGAATAGGTGAACAGTCACTAGTAGGGGGCTAATCTGGTTTCCCGCCAGAATGCTCCTTCCCCTATCCACCCATCCGTTGCAGGTGTGCTCACTCAGATTCTCTTCTGTACCGCTTGTGGGTAGGTTGCTACTACCAGGCCTATCAGCTGGGCTGCTCCTGCCATACAGGTGGCCATCGCTCAGTGGGCCAGTGAGTTCCAGGCTTTCATCCTTTCCAGCTCCAGGCTCACAGGAAGGCCCCATTCCACTAGGCCTCCTGGCAGCCTCCTACCTCGCAGGCTCACATCTTCCTCTCTCACTCTTTAACCTGACTCCTCTCTCACACTCCTGCTACTGAGCAGGCTCCAATACCTTTTAAGGGAGTCCCAGCCCTTTGCCATGCCTTCTGTTGGGGATTGGTTAAGGTCCCTCAATAGTGCAGCCAGCCACTCCTCATATCCACCCACTGCCTCTAAGGCCTTCCTCCAAAAGCCTCAGAGCAGGGGGAAATTTTCTGGCCTGCAGAGTCTCTCAGTCCTGGCCACAATTTGACCCCTCTGGCTATCTCACCTGAGCTGCTACTCAGCTCCTGGCTAACCATTGGAGTCTAGCTCCCCCTAGATAAATTATTAGGGTGCTACAGCAGAAACATTGTATCTCTAGTATCATTTGCAAATGAAAAAATTTGAAGAGTCGATTTCTATTCCAAATCTTCAATGTCGCCCATCGCAGTATATTATAAAAGAAATGATGTTGCTGCCGTCCTCTCTGCACATTAACAAAAAGCTACGAGTACGATTTGCAGACTCCATGTGAAACAACTTATCTGACCCGCGACCGGGTGAATTAGCCAGCTGTGGAGTGAAATAGGAAGTTTAGCCATCTCGGCCCATTTTATGGCTCTCTCCGGTAGTTTCAGATGTCTTCCTGACACAGACCGAGAGTTTCGGCAATAGAAAGTTCGTCTTCCATAAAGAGATGACGGCACGCCATAACCGGGTGATTCCAATCTCAATTCTCTGTCTATCCTTTAATGGTTCTACATTGTGCTAAGGGATGCATTCATAAAAAGTGGGTGTAGTTACATTTATTGCATGTCTGGAATTGTCCGTGTTTGAACAGTACAGATGATTATTATTACAGTGAAAGTTTAAAGGGTAACTCCACTTTCGTGTGAAAAAAAATAGACAATTTTACAAAAATATACACTCACTGGCCACTTTATTAGGTACACCTTGCTAGTGCCAAGACCATTTCCCCCACACCATGACACCACCACCACCACCAGCCTGAACCGTTGACACAAGGCAGGATGGATCCACCACACCATGACACCACCACCACCAGCCTGAACCGTTGATACAAGGCAGGATGGATCCACCACACCATGACACCACCACCACCAGCCTGAACCGTTGATACAAAGCATGATGGATCCACCACACCATGACACCACCAGCCTGAATTGTTGATACAAGGCAGGATGGATCCACCACACCATGACACCACCACCACCAGCCTGAACCGTTGATACAAGGCAGGATGGGTCCACCACACCATGACACCACCACCAGCCTGAATTGTTGATACAAGGCAGGATGGATCCACCATGCCATGACACCACCACCACCAGCCTAAACTGTTGATACAAGGCAGGATGGATCCACCACGCCATGACACCACCACCAACCTAAACCGTTGATACAAGGCAGGATGGGTCTACCACACCATGACACCACCACCAGCCTGAATTGTTGATACAAGGCAGGATGGATCCACCACACCATGACACCACCACCACCAGCCTGAACCGTTGATACAAGACAGGATGGATCCACCACACCATGACACCACCATCACCAGCCTGAACCGTTGACACAAGGCAGGATGGATCCACCACACCATGACACCACCACCACCAGCCTGAACTGATGACACAAGGCAGGTGGATCCACCACAC